TAGCTTTCCATGCAATGTGTCGTAAACAATAGCTTTCCATGCAATGTGTCGTAAACAACAGCTTTCCATGCAATCATAATCGACTGCAGTAATGAGCAACAAGTAAGTTCTTGTATCAAGAAGAGGGGTAAAGGCGGCCAGTCAGATCATTAAAAGGGTAACGGAGCACCCGAACTTGAGAACCACTGATTGTGAGTGTTAAATGAATGATCATCTATTGATCAGATATAACCAACCTGACATAGACTCTTGTAAATGGACGGTGGCATCCATATAACTGCCCCTGTGTAATCCACCATCGTCATTGAAACCACTGAGATATGCGGCTCCCCGTATGCACTGAAAGTCTGTTCAGTAAATGAAACAAATTAAAAATTTCACCTACAAAAGCTAAACACCTCACTAAACACCTGATTTTCTTGTCAACTGGAACTCAGTTTAATAATTTCTATACTCTTGCGGATAGCTCAGGTAGAATCAATGATAAAATCAACATATGGGAAGAAAGGATGAAACTCATTCATGGTTTCAGTGAATTAACATGAACGAAGCATGTATAAGAGATTATGGGCTGTCATATTTTAGGAACATCTAACTTGGATTGTGAGTATGTCAAATTTTACTTCAAGTTTGCGCTCTATACCTGGTGAGGCGAGATATTAGCTACAGGAAAACTACTTACGCTACAAGATGAGAATTATCCAATAATGTTTTCAGTTATACGCTGATGCTACTAAATATGCGGGTATCTCTGATTATGCGCTCTTTAGCGTAACCAATATTCTGGGCGAAAGGTCGCAAGTTCTAGAATTTAACGCATTTACGTCCTCAAAGAGCATAACTTGAACTGAGAATGACACGTTGTTTAGGGATTTTTGCTTTAGAGCTGATTACAGCTTATCGAAAGAAAAGCATATACTCGCTTTACTAACAATAAGCGCCGCATCTGCCTTATGATCAAAAGTATTATTCAGATCAAAAGGTAAAACTATTCCCAGCTTTGAACACTCGATTCACGCAACCGGTAGCTTGAGTTACCATATTATGCTTAATGTCATCTTCAAGTCGCTGGTGCCGATCAAGTCGGTCCCATTTTGCGATAATGGGACAGAGCGGAATCGCTTCTAACAGGAAATTATATAGTTTATTAATGGTTGGTCATTGATGCCTTGAGGAGTATTGATTTTCACAACACAGGCTTTTTACACAATTTCGCACTTCTCCTACTCAAGGCAGCACCACCTGTCCGTCCAATCGAGGTTGACATCAAAGATATTTTTACGATTGTGGATTAGTAATGTGGATTAGCAGCACACACATACTTATTGTAAAGCAATATGTCGGGTATCCAAATTTCATCTGATGGTATGTGAATCTTCTTTGTGCCTCCCCAATCCTCTGGATTCCACGACAATTTGCTATCCGTCCATTGCTGAAAAGAATGTCTGTTGACTGCATTCAAATTCAGTTTGAAATTGAATTCCAACTGGAAATCCGTGCACATAATCAACTTTGCTTCTGTTGGCTTCTGATGGAATTAGTGCAACAAACATGACGTTCCATTATATCGATATCATTATGAAACTTGAACTTAGTCAGTTGATATGTTGATTATTAGCTAATATGTTGATGCAGAGTAAGGTTAATCCGAGGAACTCGTCCCCGCGAGGGCTAAGACAGACACGAGAATAACATAACTGATTTCTTCCAGTCTCTATGGGAACCGGATGGGATCGCTTCCGTCCCCGTGATCATCTTCCCCCATGGGCACTAACCAACGTTAACTTTAGGGATGTAGAATAGATTCTGTTTCATCGCATCCCACTTTTTGCTCATGATTAGATGAAACAGTGGTTTTTTTCATTGGTATGCTCGAAACACCTGCATCGTCAGGAGACCATGGGATTTCCAGAGAAAAATAAATCTCCGCCTGACTCTATAGGGAATGATTCGCATCAAACACATGTCCTCGTGACAACCTTTACAGACAGAGTATACAAGAGAACAACCGTGTACGACTGTGAACTCACAATTTCAAGCCATAAGCTTGTAGTTAGAACTTCATTGACTTCATCCTGAAAATAAATTCTAAAAATCAGCTTAGGATTCTTAAACTTGCTATTCAAATTATTGCTGTCTGCTTCTCAGTCACCCCATGTATCATGTTCAAAATGCCAAAAAATTCCTTGAAGGAGTTGATTTTGCTTTACTCAGTGGATTCCTTTTGATCTACTGAGCAAACGGAAAGTTATAATTTTATGAAATCTAACGGATCACAAACGTTTGAAAGAATTCAATTCGAGAATACTCACAACGTCGATAAGACGGAATAGATTTGCACCGAATTTAACAACGAGTGCATCTGAAGCGTTTTTCACTGGTCGAACGTTCTTATTGTAATTTTTGAGAAGATGCTCAAACAATTGCTCCACATAAACATCCGCTTGAGTGATGCCAAACAAATTGAATATGATTGCGGCTGAAATGAGAGAAACTTTTTAACGTTTGTTCACAATAATCGCAACTAAAAACTAAGCTATTAATTGAATGATTGGGTGCGATAAATGGGTTGTTGCTTCGAGTGAATTCGAGTGAGTGAATCAAAATGAGCATTTTCATCGTTTTGGGTACTGATTTCTGATCAAATGAGAGTTTTTCTTGGCGATGAGCATTGATACTTCAAAAGACACCGATAGGCTTGAAAACTTTTTTTTGGAGGATTAATGTTTAAAGAATTGGTTCGAAATAAGTGATAAAAAGATGAATGAATAAGCCGTGAACAGCGAGTGTGCAAAGGACAACATACCTGCTATGATATTTGTAAACATATTTATTGCTAGCGGCAGCAAGATAGTCAACATTTAACAACACAATCCAAGTGATGTTTGTAATAACTGACTATGATAGGTGAGCACTCGATGATATTTGATATGTTAACATTAGACATCTCGAGAGTTTGAGGATATCCGTTGATGAGTTGCTCACTGTCTTTCAGCATACTGAAGAGTCTGCTGACAAGTAACTAATTGATCATTGCACATCAGAGAATTAAGTAAACTGCTTAGTATGTGGACTTAAATTAGTGAACGTGAACAAACTGTGTAAGAATTTCACCTCAAAGAGCAACTCTCAGAAGGGAAAGTGTCGATGGTGTGTAATCAGTCGTTGAGGATAATGCGATAAACAGCTCTGAAGATAGCCATTTTACGTTTGATTTTATGACTGAATCGAAAAGCATTTGAAGTTAAGCGACAAACATATCAGCACAATACACCATCGATCTGAACATATCAAAATCAAATGTCCACAACATGTTTGTTCATTTGCTGATAAGTGATCATTGATCTGAACGACGAGCGATGTCTTGACTTTTAAAGTCAATTTAATAAATCCACTTACAATCAGTTATTAATACCATTCAAATTATTACTGGTGCAACTATAATTATGATTGTAGCTGCTGTTATTATTTTCATTATCACGGCTAAAATTGTTGAAGTGGATGTTGCTAGCTCGTCAATTTGGTCGTCACTGCTAACATTTAAATTGAAACAACAATGCTTTCAATTGTGTAAACACTCGTCAATCTGATGACCAGACCTGCCGTGAAATGAAAATATAAATCTGCAACTCATAAAAGTGACAGATGAAACCTTCTCTGGTTTCACTTC